AAATGATTTACTCTTTGCCCTCAAACTGGGAGGAAATGACACTGCCTACTAACTTTGATTCATTAACCAGCAGAGATATTGTGGTGAGTAGTGTTACAAAGCCACCATCTGAGCTCTACCTGGTTCCTGAGATAAACACTATAGCTATGACGAAGAATTATTTAGACATCTGAACAACATCCTTTAACACTGTAAGCAAATCAGATGGCCCAGTGTGTATCCAGCTCTCTGCCATGTAGGCTACACCTGTGCACCAAATGTAAATTAGGTCAACTGTAAGCTGCCATACAGTAACTATGAACTGTGTCCTTCATGAAACTGGGAAACTCACAACAACAAATGTTATAGTTTGAAATAAGAAGAGCCAAAGTATATTTCCAAGCACAATACAAGCCTGAGGGCAATAAAACTGTCTTTGCATGGCAGAGCAGACAGGCTGTCAAGACAAACACTGAGCAGGAACCAGGATGTAGCTTTGCATTTCCTTCTCCCCACATCTCTTTAAGGCTTGAATTTACTTGCAAGTTGATCTTCTTTTCCTTTTTAACTTCAGCTGATGATGTTATCACTTCACACCACATACTTTGAATATTTTGACATGTCTACACGCCGTCTCTTCAACTTAAATTAGAGGCGATTTAGAAAACCTCCAAGCTGTGTCGCTTACCAAATTGATGAGGCGCCTCATTGCGTACTCCTGCGTGCAGATGCACTCACAAGGGTCAAAGCCTCCCTCCGCCATTCCTCACCAGACAGTATCCACCTGAAGAGAAGTACAGCATGTAACTAGGACGTACATGAACAACTGAAAGAAACCTAACACTCCCTCTCGTCACTGCTTCGCTCTATTGTTGTTCTACAAGCGCACACTGATTAGGGGGAGGAGACTGTTTAGGTAAGGAGACTCAGCATAGAGTGCTGGCGTTTCGTTTTGCTGCATGTCAGCAACAGTGAAAAGTTAATTTCGGTTTTCTAGCTTTTGCTGGGAATACCAACAAATCCCCATATTCCGCCAATCACACAGTTTCATCGCAGTAACCTTGAAAGAGAAAATAAACTTTAACTGTGGAATGTTGAGCCTCTATTTAAAATAGCCTTCACCTTTATCACTCTATGAAGCCCTTTATGAGTGTATTAGCATGTTTTGTATGAACATACTTTTTTTTTTTAAAAGATGAATCCATATGACACAAACTAGCAGTCCAACTATGAGCTTAGAGCCTGCTAATAAAGTGGCTCATACTAGCAAGAACTTGGATGATTGCTGTCATTATGAGTGACAAAGGAAGATGAGCTATTTCTGGCTTGGATAAAGCATTGATGGAGTAAGATCAAGCTGGTTAGTGCTGACAATGATGGAGGTGAAACACACACTGACAATGGTTCAAAAAACACCCCCCAAAAAACAAAACAACCACAAACACACAGATGTCTGCTACAGGTGTCTAATCGTGGTTATCAAAGCCATAACAAACCCCAGATGAACTTCTAAAGCTCATAACGATACTGAAATAAATTCATTTCCACTTTCTTAGGTACACCTTGCCAGTACTTTGTTGGGCCCATTACATTACCAACAGCCTCAACAATTCAGGCCGCTGAACCATCATCTTATATGAAACCTGAAAATCCATACTTTCAGGCTGTTTACGCCAAATTCTAACTCTATCATCTAAATGTCACTGCACAAATTGAGACTGGTCAGACCAGACAACATTTTTCCAATCTTCTGTTGTCAATTTTAATGAGCCCATGTGAACGGTAACCTTCCTATTTCTAACATGAGTAGCACCGGGTGTGGTCTTCTGCTGCTGTAGCCCATTTTCTTCAAGGTTCAATGTGGCAGCTCAATTACTGCCCACAGAGTCACAGAGGTTATAACAGAGAGCACAGAGTTTATTTTTTGCACTGATAATAAATCTACAGTGTAATTGTTGGATACATCTTTACACTGAGTATTGGTTGATTATAAAAGAGCTCATATTAAGTATAAAAACTGCAAACTATAAACTAACTGAGGCTTCTGCAAATGGATTTGCGCTGCTATGAGCTCTGATAGAATCTCAGTTTGTTGAAGTAAACCGGCCAGTGAGCAGGTTGGGTTCACACAGTGTTACCCCTTGGACACTGGCTCAGAGTTCAATTTAATGCTCTCTCTGGAACAGAAAACCCAGAGTTTCCCCTCAACTCAGGATTAACAAACTCAGTTTTTAAATTAGACCTCATCCTGGAATAGGACCCAGCAGTTACTGAAACACAGCCCATCTGGCACCAACTTTCACGCTGTGTTTAAAATCACTTAAATCCCCTTTCTTCCACATTCTGTTACAAACTATGAACCTCAGGAGTTCTTCTCGACCTTATCTGCACGCCTAAATGCACTGAATACCTGTGATGGGATTGGCTGATTTTACTGGCTGACATTTCTTTCAAGATTATATCTTGTTATCATTTAAAAACAAAACAAAAAAACAAAACAGCGGCCACCATATATACAGTGATTAGGATATTTTCAACCACTTATTTTATTTTCATGTTTCTTGCCATGCATCCACCAGCACACAATAGACATCCGAATTATCTGTCTACACCACAAAGAAACAAAATAAAAAAAAATAAAAAGCCAAACACGTTTACCTAAGACTGACTACACCCAGGTGATGCACACCTGGCTAAACCTCACAGCCTTCAGCGAAAGATTGTGTAATAAACTAGAGGGCTGTTGGGTGAACTTTATGGGCATTCTAAAGGTTTCATTTGGTGGTGCTGTTAAATTTCTATTGGCTTTTAGCTAGCTTTTTTCCTCCACCCCACTGTCGTCAATGACAGTAAACTAAACAACACAAATATGTGAAGCAACGTAGTGCAACAACACCACAAACAACCTGAATCAACACAGCTAAAGCCGAAGACCGTAATCTGTCACTGCGCGGCTTTCCGATTAAGACTGCAGGAGGTTTAACATCAGACATACACAGGTTGCAGTATGATCCACGGGTGACTGCCTGCACTTTTGCGCAAGTCAGCTAAAACGAGGTTAAAGACATCTACGGTTACTTCCCTGTAGTTTTAAAATTACGTGATTTAGCCTAACGTTTACACTAGCTTCTTGCTAACCCCGCCAGCCAAGCCAGAGGAAACTCACACCCATTCCACCCTCCCTCCCCCCTCCTTGTCTTTAGATTGTTATTAACTGAACAAAGACATGAGAGCAAAAAACAGCGACTTACTGGAGCGGCGTGATGTTAATAAAACGATCACTGTCTCTCAGGGGCCCGAGCTGCACCGCTGCTCTACACAGAGACCATCAAACTGCAAACACACCAAACCACCGTCTGTGTTTTGTTTAATACACGTGAGCCAGCGGCTATTCTTCATCCGGGACCTCGGGAGTGGGGCGGCTCCCCGATGGCTCTGCTCTGTGTTCAGCCAAACAGCTGTCTTGCTTATTGGTCTGAAAGTCTGATGGGCGGGCCCTTTGAGCCAATCACAACAAGCAACGATCACTTTTTCTGGATAGTAAACAAACAGTCCAGTTGCCTGTCAGCTTACAGAGGCCCATGAACCTACAACATCTGTGCAGTTGTGTAATCAAATACATGGTGGTGGATTCGACTTGAATACTTTTCATTATTTAAAGTTTTCATTAGTTAAAGTATTTAATTTTTATGCTACTATATAAATGCTATTCTTTTAAATAAGGAAAACAAAGATACCTTTCTGCAGCACAACACATACTTTAACTTTGAATCTGGGCTTTTATTTATTTATTTATTATATAACTTATTGGTTTTATTTTGTCACTGTGGGAGTGGAAGTTAATCTATCACCATTCCCAAATAAGCTTATAAGACACCAATACTTAGAAATAAGAGCCAGAGAAGCACCAACTTGTTGTATTTTCCAAGTTTTAGAAACATTACAAGCTCAGTTACACACACCATTAACCTCCCCCCCCTCATTGAATATAATAATATATGTGGAGGTTATTATTAATATTATTATCAATATAAAAAAAAATATGAGAGGTTCTTTACCTTACTTTCATCTGTTACCAACCTGGAATACATTCACTTCTGTGAATGAAACAAAAGTTTATTCTAGTGACTATAAAGATGCATCTGTAAGAGATGGAAGCAACTCCTTTTCTTTCATCTGGTCCCTTTAGGGTTCGCCACAATGGATCATCCGCCTCCATCTCACCCTGTCCCTAGTATCCATCTCTGTCACACAAACCTTCTGCATGTCCTCCTCCATTACATCCATTAACCTCCTCTGCGGGCCTTCTTTTTCCCTACTGCCTGGCAGCTCCATTTTCAACATCCTTTGCCCAATATATCTCCTTTCCTCCTCTGTACATGCCCATACCATCTCAGCCTCGTCTCTACAACTTTATCTCCAAACTGCTCAACCTGAGCTGTCCCTCTAATGTACTGATTTCTATTCCTGTCCATGCTGGTCAATCCCAAGGAAAACTTGAGAATCTTCAGCTCTGTCACCTCCTGCTCAGCCTTCTGTCTTTTTGTCAGTTTTGACATCTCCAAACCATACATCATATCATCTTATAAACCTCCCCTTCACTCTTGCATCCTTCAAATCCCCCCTCATAACATGCCCCCACCCCCTCCATCCGGTCTCATCTTCACCTCCAAGAGTTGAAAGCCACTGAAATGCCATTCATGTTACAAACCACAAAGGTGCGAATGCAGCTGAAAAGTTTTAAGTTTAAGCTGAAGAACTGTAGATGAAGAGTGTGTGCACTCTACATAGACAGCTGCCTGCGCCAGTTATCACAAGATACTTAGGGAGTGACAGAAGCTGCAATGTGTCTGTTAATAGCATATATGGCTTTTAACATATATGCAGAACATTACACACACACACACACACACATATATATATATATATATATATATATAAATATACACACACACATAGAGATACTGACCACCATGTAGATAAAATGTGAGTAAGAAAGAGTTCCCATTCCAGTAAGAACATCCCTCACAATCAGATGGAAACCATGACAGAAATGCCCTGAAGGGAAGTTACAAAAGAGCATGAACCCAGGTTGGCTGTCACCAGAGCTCATTAATGAAAGTTCTAGTGTGTGCTCCATGCAGCTGCTCTGTGTGTGTGTGTGTGTGTTCTGGACGGACTGACGCTGAGCGCAGGCAGGCGAACTGCGAACTCTCGCTGAGCTGGAAAGAAGCGCTATACACGGTGAAAGTGAAAGGAGCTCCGTAAGTGTGGAAAGCACCGAACAGGCGGCCTCCCCCCCTCACACACACACACACACACAAACAAACAAACAACACAGGGAGACGGGCCACGGGTGTAGCTTGAAGGCAGCAGCGGCGGCAGCAGCTCAGCAGACACAGCCATGGCCAACATTGCGGTCCAAAGGATCAAACGGGAGTTCAAAGAAGTTCTCAAAAGCGAAGAGGTGCGGTAACGCTACCGGCTTATTTTCACTTCTACTCAGCTCTTTCTTTAAAATTGTGTCAGCTCTGTTAAAATATACGCTACCGGCAGCCGTTATTGTGACCAAATAGATTTACCTTAGTCAGGTTTGGGTCCTCTGTTGCAGCAGGTCAGGCCCAAACAGGAGAACTTTAGCTAGCTTTAGCTTCAAATCAGCGTCCAGGCGAACCTCCCTTGTTATGTCAGGTGGTTGTGTTCAGGAAACACCGGGGATTCGGCTCTCTCAGCTGACAGGCCCTGAATGCCTAACAAACAACGTCGCACACCTTTGTTTTAATTACACAAGTCAAGTAAACCTAGAGTGTGCGGCCTGTTAGCGCCTCAGGCAGGGAACCGCAGCTGTTTAGCAAAGTAAATGAGTTAGCGGCAGTTAGCAAGGCTTGCTAACGCTATTTTGACATGGATCCACAGTTAGCATTAGCAGCCGTGATGTTTTGCTGCAACGTTCAACAAACTTATCAGGCGTTAATCAGCTGTTTGTTAACAGTCTGAATACACTGCGTTTATTTAAAAGGTGTATGCTGTCATATCACCCCCTGCCCAACTCCTGTTAATACTGTTTTATAGTTTTGTAACTTTGGTGCTAACCTGAATTGTCCTAGTGTTTCCTCTGGGAGTGGGGCTCAAATTGGTTTTTAATGTTAACACAAAATGACACTAGCCGTGCCTTTTCTAGCAACCATCTTGCCAGGGACTTCTTGTTTTCAATTTGATGTGAACACGTGAAGACATGAGCTGGGTAACTCCTTTTTCTTTCTTTCTTTCTTTTTTGCATTTATTCCAACCTACAGACGAGTAAAAACCAGATTAAAGTAGATTTGGTGGACGAGAACTTCACAGAGCTGAGGGGTGAGATAGCAGGGCCTCCAGACACACCATATGAAGGTACTGTAATATTGGAAACGATGGCCAAGATATGTGATACTCGTCATGTGGTCTGATATACTATGTCTGCTTTTCTCTCTTTCCTAGGTGGCAGATATCAGCTTGAAATAAAAATCCCAGAAACCTATCCTTTTAACCCGCCAAAGGTATTTGCTTTAGTGCCTTTCATCCTCTGCCTCTCTTCCTTGTTCAGTTATTTTGAAAACATGTACACTTTTGTTATAGCTGGTAAAATCGGTTGTCACTAATTGCCACTGCTCATGCCTAAGTGACCCTGTGCATGGTACCCAACTCTAAAAACCGCTCCCAGTGCTGCAGTTCAAATCACTTTTAATTATGTAGCACCCATGTTTCTACGATAATAGAAACATCAATCCCCTGTGAGCAAGCACTTGGCAACAGTGGGAAGGAAAAACTCCCATATAGCAACAAGAAATCTCCTGCAGAACCAGGCTCAGGGAGCGGGCAGCCGTCTGCCACAACCAGTTGGGGGTGAGAGGAAAGTGAAAAAAGAGGGACCAATAGGACAAAAGGCAAACTAAGAGCGAACCAGAGCTTAATGATTAAATACAGTGGTGGTGAATAAAAACAGGTAGAGTAAGGAGATAAATGATGAGCAAAACATTCAGTGCATCATGGGAAGCTCTGCAGCAGTCAGAGCTTGTAGCAGCATAACAAAGGGAGGGTTCAGGGTTATCTGATCCAGCCCTGACTATATGCTTTATCAAAATGTACAATTTTAAGTCTAATTTTATAAGTAAAGATGGTGTCTGCCTCCCAAATCCAAAATGTGAGCTGGTTCACAGAAGAGGGGCGTGTAAGCTGAAGCCTCTGCCTCCCATTCTACTTTTAGACGCTTTAGGAACCACAAGTATGCAGTCCAAGAACGATATGTATTCGAAGTATAGTGTATAGTAATATGAGGTCTTTAGGATATCATGGGGCCTGATTATGCAAGATTTTGCATGTGAGTCGAAGGATTTTATATTCATTTCTGGATTTAACAGTGAGCCAATGAAGAGAAGCGAGTATGTGGCACTTTGACCGGAATCAATTTATAATTCTTATGAGCATCAGAGTTTTGAGGTAAATTCAGCTATTATGCTTCAATTAACAAAACCTTAGGTTTGTGTTAGTGCTCTAACAGAGAACAGCATAACGTGACTTGTAAACAGCCTTTTTAGGTTTCTGGTCACTATTAGCTTGTATGTTAAAAGCAAAAGAGAAAGTCTAATACTGATAATAGTGAAAATAAACATTTATTGTCTCCCTCCTGTAACCAAATGAATCTTGTAAACATACCCTCAACACAGGGGTGGTAAGAAATCAATCTTTCCCTGAAATGATGTCACCAAATAACCTGTTAGGTAACAGTTTACGGGTTTAAACTACCGGCGTTTGGCTTATACAGTAATTTAAATGCTTAATACATCAAGTTAATTTGTCACTTAGATGTAAAATGCAGTGGTGCCATAAACTATAACTGCTGGCTCATTAATTTGCAGTATTTCCCTCGCAATGGCTTGCAATACATCAGGACATGGTAAAATGACAGCTACTGTAGTGTAGCCTGGATGCTGACATATCTGTTGTAAGAAACTGTAAATATTTCTTCTTTCTGTCACCTCACGTTCTTCTCTAGATAACGCTTCCTCATCTGTATGTCCTAGGTGCGCTTCATCACTAAGATCTGGCATCCTAATATCAGTTCTGTGACCGGAGCAATATGCCTGGACATTTTAAAAGACCAGTGGTAAGTGCAAAGTATCTGAACTGTTCTCAGTGTGCCTGTGTGCTCCATTCACTTAACCTGCCCTCTCACCCTCTCTCAGGGCAGCTGCTATGACCTTGAGGACAGTGCTGTTATCTCTACAGGCTCTCCTCGCTGCAGCAGAACCAGACGATCCACAGGATGCAGTAGTAGCAAACCAGGTGGGAAGGACTTAATGCACGACTCGCATTTTGTCTGCTTATAATCGGATATTAAAGTACCAAATTATATTTGGGTAACTGTACGTGTCTCGGTACCTGGTGTGAACTTGTGTCTAAAATAAAATCTGCCATATTTGCTAGTTCATTTTGTGATGTTGCTCACAGACCTGTATTTCTGAATCCTCAGTATAAGCAGAACCCAGAAATGTTCAAACAGACTGCGAGGCTTTGGTCTCACGTCTACGCGGGCGCTCCTGTCTCCAGTCCTGACTATACACGTAAAATAGACAAACTCTGTGCCATGGGCTTCGATAAGGTCAGAACCCCTTTGTTTTTGTTGTGCCCTCACATTTATAGGTAAAATTTAGTTACACTCTATCAGCCAGTTTCCCAAACATTAATCGTCCCTTGTTTTAGATTAAGGGAAAAATTCACTGAAGCTCTCCATTAAAAAAGTAAATAATGATAAAATAGTTTTTAGTCTAAGACTAGGCTTAATCGCTGTCTGGGAAACTGAGCTTATATTTAACATAATAACATCATATTTTAAGAAACATGCTTATTTTCAGCTTGATGGCAGCAACATGCTTTAGAGACATTTAGAAAGAGCGATGCTCATCACTGTTGCATCACATCTTCTTTCAACAGCATTTTGTGCTTGTGAAACAAAGAGAAGTGCTTTTGTTTTGAAAGCTGTTGCTTCATTCTTTCCTAATAAGACACATGAGCTGCTCAGATTGAGCCCTTCTACCTTTTTCTTTTCTCATCTGATAATGAAATGCTCAAATTCTTTGAAGTTTTACCCTCCCACACCCTCTATTCACTTCCCTGAAGACTTGTTCCATCTCTGGCGCCATGTTTTTACCCAATGATAAAAACGAAATATTTGGTAATGAACAATGAGATGCGGCGTGTCAACTTTTTAGTTTGTTCAGCTGAATGCTGGACAAACTCATACCATGACGAGCCATCTGTCATGCATCTGTTCGATTACAATTCACAAGAATCACTACTCTTGCTGCAGTTTTGGTCAGATTTAAACCAACTGGCACACAATGATCGCCTACACATTACAGTAACCTGTGAACTGGATCGACCGCTGCATGAGATTAATTGGTGTTCTGGTTTGTTGCTGGCATTATATTCAATACGGTCATTATACACAATAATATATGTGTATAATGTAATTTTTTTTGGAGGGGGGGTGATTTGAAGTTGGATGGTGATGTAATAATTTTTAAAATGATTTTTACCCCTCAGCTGTAAAAGGCTGACGGAATATTGACATCACCCTGCAGGGCAGCCGGGCAGACAAGGTGAATACCTAAATTTGTGAATTTTGCGATAACTCGAGGATGAGGCAGCGTGTCCCCTAAAATTCTTGGAGAAGTTTGAATCTCAGAGACCTCAATGTCAAAGTCAGAGGTCAAGTTTTCTGAAAATCTAGTGAATGCGATAAGTTGAGAACAAGGCAACATAGGATTTAAAAATTGATAGCATAGATGTGTCTGGTAGGAGGCTATTGGGTAGCATTGGCGGTAGCCAGAATTTTATTATCATTAGTATTTTTTAATAGTCTTTATTTAAACCAGAACGTTTTACAGGTGCAGAAGTAAGAAATGAATGGGGCATGATATACAGTGCTGATAAGCTGGAAACATCAGGTTATAACTTATCTTTACATAGTTTATTCACATTTTTGTCAAAGGTATTGACGGCCTTAATTCTCAACTCATAGGTTTTTTTGGGGTTTTTTTCACTCTGTAAAGTTCTTCAGCAGTGCATATGGTTTAATGTTGGGGGCTCAACCATTTCCTCCTGATGGCCTTCTTACCTGCCAGAATTAAGGCTTTAAGTAGTAGATTGTAGTTGTAGTAGATAGTATGTAGATTCCTTCCTTTTTATGTCTGTGGATCTTTTTTCTTTACTTTATAGTTCAGAATAGTCTCTAGTGTATAAATAACTTTCTCAAAATGGCTGGAGCCTTGTAAATTTTGGCCTTGCAAGATGGATTACACAAAACACACACAAGTATTCATTTGTGTTCGTGAGCATGCATTCTTGAATTTATTATTGTGCAGTAAGCTTATGCAAACATTTACATTACCGCAGTACTTAAAGACAAACAAACAGTATATTTAGCTCTCTCCAGTGGGTTTCTTGTCTCGTGGATGGACTCCAGCTGCAGTTGGTGGTTCTTGTTCTCTGCAGCCTTTGTGAGATCTGCGAATTCTCAGATGAGAATCATTTTTCAACTTTTTTTCCTCCTTTTATACAGAATGCAGTAATAGCGGCCTTGTCTTCAAAATCCTGGGACGTGGAAACGGCGACAGAGCTGCTCCTAAGCAACTGAAGCCAGGTGTGAGGATCCAAAAACCCTTCATCACAGTGTCAGCTCCTCCACCACTGCCTTTTGTTACACAGAAAACAAACACCCCATCCACCATGGCAGTCTGAGCCTTCTTTTATTACCAGTTTGTTTGCTACTAAGTCAACACCAGTAGCGCTGCATTTGCCAATATGCACAGCACCCCGTTGCCTGCCGAGTCTTTACTCCCACCTACCCAATATGTGTATTTCAGTATTAAGCCCTCCCACCCTTAAAAAATGAAAAAGAAATCCACCCATGCCTCCAGTCTTCCATGCCCTTTAAACACATTATTTTTTTTTTCCCCCCACAAATTTCCTTAAAGTTGTAAAGGATCGAACAGCTGCTGTAATCAGGTGGATTTTCCAGGGTAAAATGTAAGGAAAGGAAAGCCTGCTGACTGCTTCTACACTACATTACCGTTTAATTCCTTCGGCAGCCAGTTGGACCGTGTGTTTCTCTGCTACAGACTTTTAGTACTGTAAAGAAAAAAAAAAAAGTCTTGCTGGATTAAATTTTCTTGACTGGATAGTGCTGTGCATGAGCAGTGTAATGTTTTTTTTCTCCTGAACAACCTTTCATTGATGCCTCAATCCACTACAGAAGTTTGGATGTACAGGTTTTATTTTCTGTATGTAGACTTAGAACAAAATCACACACACACACACATCTGCCAACATCTGCACACATGCACAGAAGAAAAATCTGTAAATAGATCTGTGTAAATTTGAAAATACAGTGGGGATGTACTTTTTTTTTTCTTACATGGCATTGTAAAACAGATTATTTTAAATATAAACTATGCCTAGTTTACAATTGTAAGGAGATAAATGTGTTCATGCTTTTGTGATCCATGAGAAGTCCCTCTGAATGTATTTTGGTGTTTGTTTTTTTTAAAGGGTGGCACAGCCAAAATCTTGGCCCTCATGGCACAGGAGCTAACAACCAGCTCAGCCACTTTTTCTGCTATCATCTACAGTCCAACTTTTTTTTTTTTTGTGCACGTGTTTGTCCTTTCATGTTGTTGCCTTTATTTTGATTTGGCCAGATGATGCAGTGGGTGTTTGTTTGGTTTAACACCCCTCTCCTACACTCTTGGATCTCACAGGACTCATTCTATATAATCAGACACCTGGAACTTCTGATGGGGAAAGCCACCAAGCACCACCCAGTTTGGCGTTACACTGGTAGGGAACCAAAGCCCTACCGAACACGTTGATGGAAAGCGAATGGAATTTTTTTTCAGACATTTGAGAGGAAGATTCTGATGAGTGACATTAAGGATTTGGGTTTGCAGTGCTGTTTTATTTTTATTTTTTAACCATACGCACATCCTCGGCCACAGATTGAGGATCTGCTCATTAACATAACCAATAGGAGGCGGCGCTGTACACTTTATTGCTGATCCAGTCAATCAAAGGCTTTGGCCATATATACAGGTATATAGGTGATGTCCTATATTCCCAAACATGCTTTACTACACAGCCAAATAAAACACTCACTGAGGTCGTCTTTGAACTATGTCTTCTAGGTAGTAAAAGAGGCTGGAACTCCTCTGTTATTCTATGAAGTGAAATAGCAGACCTGGGAAGTGTTTTCACATATTTTTGATTTTGAGGTACATGGACTGTAAAAACATGTTTGGCATTTAGAGAAAGGGTGTAGATGCATCCCCACACAAGGGGCCATTCTGTTTTTAATAAAGGAATTATTTTGCTTAACCTCCAGCTCAGTCCCTACCAGCACAGCAGTGTATTACACTGCAACATGGAGTTAATGTGCAGCCGTCTTTGCTCACAATGGGGGGAAAAAAAAGGAAGTTCATAGGCAGGCCGAATGCACACGCCATCTCCCTTACTTGTAAATAGCTGGGTTTGGTTCTTAATAAAGAGCCATCTTATCACTAGAGTGCACCATTGATGGCTGGATCGAATATTTTCTAAGAAAAAGACAAAAACGGACACCACCCTCCCCAGTCTTCCTCATGATGTACAATATTGCACGATTACAAGCATAGAAAAGGGGCCTGTTGCATCTCAGTTTCTCCATTTGGGTTGAGACTTATTTTTTTTCCTTGTCCTCGGAAGCAAGCATCCGCAGTATAAAAAGCATGGTTATTTATTGTGACAGTGTCATGTTTCTTTGAATAAAAAAAAGAAAAGAAAAAAAAGTGGAAAAATCACCTGTTTTTGAAATCTGCACTTCCAAAACACAGGCATAGAGACAAACTCACTGCACCATAACATCTAAAAGCATTTATTTTTTTTTTCTTTTTGGAAAAAATTAAATATGATCATGAGTATAGGCATATTTAGTCCCCGTCATCAACACAACCCACATGGCATCCACTCACTCGATGCTTAAAAATCAGGAATAACCCAACAGAAAACTGACAAAAGTACAAAAAATATTCAATCATAAAAGATGAACAAAAACCTGAACACATACTTGGATAGTTATATATCATTTATGCAATCCAAAGTGACGTACTTCAGAAGTAAAAAAAGAAAAAAGAAAACAAAAGTCATTAAAACCCAGCTCATTTTCAGAGCCTCTGACATGTCCAGGGCACGAGGCAGCGAGCAGAGCTTGGGAGCACAGTATCCAGAAATGCTTGACCGCTTAATTTTGTCCATTTACACGCACTGGAAATAAATCAAAAGGCCTTTAAAAGCATTACTGGTGTCACTTGAGAAGCACCTGCAAGTTTCTAACTGGCCTTGTGATGCTATAAACAAGCGAAAGCACCTAAACATACCAAAGTTAGAAACCTAAACTTACCAAAGTGTATAAAATTTTGGTGCCGGTACGTCTGTTAAACGCATCAGGTGTTCCCATATTTAAGCCAACTGCTGCAAAGATTTTAACTGTTTTCACTTAGATATTCAAAAAGTTTTCAGTGGAAAGTTACACAGGCATATTTACAAAATATAACTGTGTAAAAAACCGATGAGAAAAAAAATATAATAAAAAAAAAAATACTGTGCAACTCAGACACAAAGAGGAAGAGGTCAAGAGACATACAGTAGGATTTTCCCAGGGGATTTAATAAGCAACAATCATAACCAGATTAAATCGGCTGTAAAATATCCATCCTGTTTTTTCTTAAAAATGGCTCCACAAAAGAAGCAAAGAGCAACAAACACAAAGGAAAAAAATAACATGATTCTGAGTAAGACCTACATACAATGAGTTTCAAATCATGACTACAAGGTAAAACCTTCTAGAGTGTGTGTGTGTTTGTGTGTGTGCCTGTGTGTGTGTTTTAAGAAAGGTCCATAATGTATCCAGGAAAGCTTTAAGAGTCAGAGGAGCTTGTACGCAGGGTTGGGAGGATATAAGGAAGAGTCTGGCCCAGTTTCTACAGTCTTGGTTTCACCTTCAGTGGTTTCCTCTTTACCTGAAAGACGAAGTTTTGAGTCAGTGTCGGCGCAATCATCATCATCATCATCATCAACGTAACATGTACACAAATCCTTAGATAATATTTAGGTTGTTCCTTTAAATCAGGGATCTCCCCAAGAGTTCATCAACTTGTACAAACATCTGTAAAAACTAAAAGGTCAATTTTGAGCAACATCTCAGTAATGCAGACATGGTCACCACAACCTGCTAAGGTTTAAAGTGAGCATCAAAAAGTGGAAGAGAGGTGATTCAAGGGATTCAACATGGTATGGTCCATGGTATGAGTATTTTAGAAGCTGCTGATCTACTGGGATTTACAGGGAATGATCCCAGAAAATATCCAGCGAACAAAAGTTCTCTGGGAGAAAATACTTTGTTGATGCCAGAGGTCAGAGGGGAATAACCAGAAGGCTGTGAGCTGCCAGGAAGGCAGCAATAACTGTGCATACCTCATTACAACCAAGGTATGCAGACGAGCATCTCTAAACACACAAGTTTGACTTTAAAGCAGATGGTGTACAGCAGGAGAAGACCACACCGGGTGCCACTCCTGTGAGCCAAGAACAGAAAACTGAGGCTGCAGATCACACATGTCACCAAAACTGGACAGCACAAAACTGAGGCTTAATTTCTGCTGCCACACTGGGAAGGTCGGGGTCAGAATTTGGTGTAAATACTATGAAAGTATCTATCTTGGCTTGTATTATGTTTCAGGCTGCTGGTGGTGGTGTAATCACGTGGGGAGTACTTTCTTGTAGCACTCTGGGCTCCTTAGTACACACAGAGCATTATAGCACCCTCTGATGGCTGCTTCCAGCAGGGCCAAGGGCCATGTCACAAAGCTTAATGAAAATGAGTTCACTGTACTCAAATGGCCTCCACGATCACCAGATCTGAATCCAGCAAACCACGTTCCTCTCATTCTCAGACCTCACCTCTGCAGGTCAATCTGTCTCTTTGTCCCTTCGTCATTCTGCTGCTGCTGTTTTGACATCTTGATGTTGATTGACTCTGCAGACGGGTTCGAGTTGGGGTCAGCTGCCCTTTTCCTGCCTCTGCTGGTTCCACCCCCCACTGGTGCCGCTCCTCCCTCTTTGTCAGCTGCTACTGGAGCAGCAGCAGCTGATTTAGGCGGGCGACCACGTCGTTTGACAGGCGACGCTTCTGTCCCGGCATCGGGAGCTGCTTTCTGACTGGGCTCGACCTGGGAAACGGCAATAAGAGTTCAGTTGAGTAAAAGCAGTGCTTAAACGCAGGAATGTGTAGTTCCCACGTGAGATTACCTTCTTCACCTCTTCAGCCTTGATGACTGGGTTCTCATTGTTTTCCTGTGCTCTGCTCTCTGATGACTCAATGGTAGAGCTGCTGTTACTGCGAGACGCAGAGAGTGTCAGTGATACCGGAAACTTTATGTCTAAGAGCGAGCGCCTGTAGCATCTGTGTCTGCGTGCTTACCTGTTCTTGTTGATTGTTGAGCTCAGAGGAGAGGAGTTGGTGCTGGTGTTACTGGTTGTGTCTGAAGCTGTGGTGGTCTTGGTGAAGATCCTCCTCCCTGGTACCGTCAGAGGCTTGTTCACTGCTCCTAACACAGGAGCTGGTTTGGGCTACATAGTGAAAGAGAATTCAGCTTTCTGTGCTCAGAATAACGTGGAAAAATTTTTAAACCTCTTAGCTCCACATCATGACTCAAATTTAGAGTTTACTGGCAAACTGTGGGTAACAAGCCTAATGTAACGTAACAAGCCTCGGTGTCGTGCATTTACCTTTCCAGTGAGCAGCATTTGTCTCATTTCTGCCGTCAAATACTCTTTATCGTTTTTGAAGTCCTGTTGAAAGAAATTAAAAACAAGACAACTGATCACCGTAAACCCAAAACATATATAAGGTCATGATTTAGATTCCTAACTGCACATAAGCACAATTTCCCAGCTCTATACCAGCATGAATCACTTTCCATCCCCAGAGTCAAACCGCTCGATTAGCTGAGATGACCAAATGTGTCCAACCCTAACCATTTTCCTGTGTGTGTGTGAGACGCATATCTTTGTGGGGACCAAAAATTGGAAGTTTACTATGCTTGTGGGGACAAACAGCCCTTATGGTGAGAAAATAAGGGCTGTTCCCCTGAATTTGAAGACTCAAAATGTGGTTTTAGTGTCAGGGTTACAATTAGGTTACAGTTAGGAAAACACTAAGGTGTGTGTGTGACCTTGTCCTGTATGAGGAAGAACTTGGAGGGTAAGACAGGCTCTTTCGGACAATCCAGGTGACACGCAGTGCTCTTGTTGGCGATCACGAAGAGAGCGACGTCACAGACAATGTACAGTTTCTGTAATCACAACATGAAAGAAAGCCATTCAGTTGCCCGATTGCTAAACACACTGTCTGCCCAATAATGCAGAATCCAAAGATTTTACTTTGTAATTTTAAAGAACAGGAATGACTCAAATTTATAGTTTACTGGCAAACTGTAAATGCAATTCAAAGTATTAACTCTATTATATAAACTACACTGGACGTCCAGTCAAATGTTTTTAAATGTTAAAATGCAAAACTGTAGTAACACTATTACATACCTCGTTGGCCTTTGCATCATCAGGACACTGAGCATCCTTTGTTTGTTTGATATTTTCTACCATCTTCCTAAGAAAGGCATGACTGTTGTTCTCATTCTTGGTCATCAGCACTTCAAGCATGAACCACAGGCATCTATATATGAAAACACACACACACACACACACACACACACACACACACAAAATAAGTATTCTTTATGCCACAGCTGTACGATCATCACTTATGTGTATTCACTGGACTTTATAATAGAACAAAAGAGCAATTTAGAAATAAGAGCATTTTTGGAAAGGCAGTCTCAGCAGGAGACTAAATCGAAACACACTCACTCTTTGATGTCTTTGAGCTGCTCATATTCATGCGGTTTTGTGAAGTCTGGGTCATGAGCCAGCAGGTGGATCATGTAAGGAACCACATACTCAGGAAGAAGAGAGACAAGTTTTTCTGAGGAGAAAGAGACAATAGCTAATTTTAATGCGTGTGAGTAACTTTCTATGTCCCCTTTTTCAATGTGGGGAAAAAGAAAACGCCAGGTGAAATGTTACTTCCTGAATAAGTATCTCAATAAATCTCAGCCAACAATGCTGCTACTTTTTCTGTGTTGCTGTGTTTGAATTAGAAAAGCCAAACATAAAACTGTAAAATGACCTTTGGCAGGACAAAAACAAAGCTGTTCTGAACGCTGTAATAAAAACAAACCAACAAATAACCATTATCATCATGTTTCTCTCTTCTGTTTGATGCTTTTTTAATTATGCAGTGACTTAACAACATCTGACTAAAGTACTTATTCCAAAAGCTGTTTTTCCAACTGACTCAAAAGCCTAATATTAACATGACATTAGTAACAATTTGTACTACATTTGGATTAAACGATCCTCTTTCATCATCTAAACTGCCATCTAAGAAAGAGCACATTAAAAACTGATGTTTCGGTGTAGAGAACTGACCCTGAGCGAGGGGGTTTTGTTTGATGTACTCTCTGCGGACGGAGATGTTTTTGAGGAGGCACTGTCGGGCATGTGCGCGGCGCTCCTTCACCGGGT